TTGAAGTTATTACAATACCTACAACAACGGTACCCTGGCCCTTAAGCACCATATTAACATAAATCATTCCTAGTCTTATTTTGCATCTGCTCTAACATACTCACCATATAAGACACTCAGTTTCAGTGGGAGAATAAGAAGTCGGAGGGACCTTTGACTTGAAAAACTATGGACATTCTTACATCATGTTTAGACAAATGCAGGCAGAATGTGTATATGCGTATTTATGATTGCATAATTAAAAGAAAAAATCAAAATAGTAAGCATTTAAACATAGGTCTTTGTTTTTTTTCTGCTGTACAGACTGTCAGTCAATGGGTCAAAAGTGCTCCAGGAACAGGCTTATGAGTTTGTTGGTTTGTATTACTTCACAAGTGAAATTCAGCTGTTTCAGAGCACTTGCCTCTGAAATGTCTACCAGCACACTATTCTTCTCAACGACTCCACTGGGGTTTCAGAGTATTCACAAGGGAAAACTGGAGCTAAAGTGATTGCTGTACAGGCGGGGCACACATTCAGCAGTCAGACTGTTCTGCACCAGCGTGCTGCAGCACTGACACCACCTCCCCCAGGACCATGCTTAAAAGGAAATGAATCTGCAGATCTCCTGTCCTGCATTACTAGAAAACTGGACAAAGAATACATACATATTCTTGAAACAAGGCTCTATGCCGCACATTAATTACATGAGGGGGAAGGAGTCAGGTGAGAGAGGGTAGCTGTTTTTCGTAAGTGGCCAGTGTTGAATTTGTAGTCCATCAGCCAGGCCAACCACCATAATGAACCTTTCATCCCTGTTCTTTTTCACCAACACAGTGCATTGCCAACATTATTATATGCATCAATATAAGCCTCTAAAACCCAAATACTTACACGACGTGCTTTATCAACCTACAGATATTTTTTTCTTGTCATATAGGGGTACGATATTATTTTAATATTGCCCTTTCCTGTCTAAGGGGTGCTATTTACTGCACGGCTTGTTTCAGCTACTGTATCATCAATGATTAAATGTAGGAGTGAACTTTATGCTTTAATGGAATGATGGACCAGATTAAAACAAGATATGAAGTATTTTCTTATATCCAACCCACACAGCTCTTGCAGCTTATCCTACTGGGAAAGTCAGAAGATTTCAAACTGGCATATGCGGCAAACAAGCAGCATGTCTCCCAGGGCCTGCTTCTCCCACCATTGACATGAGCAAATGGGATCAGACCCTTTTTTTGGTTGGTTTGGTCCTTAAATTACAATAAGCCTCTGAAAAACAGCGGCAAACACCACCAAGTTTGTGCAACACAAGAAATGCTTATTAGACATTCTTATTCCATCAAATTTAGGGCTACTGATTCGGTATTTACCTTTTATCTCCTTGTTGCAATGTAAGAGGTTTCTTTTAAAAAAAAAAATACTTAAGCAAAACCCATCATGTTTTTTTCTGTCTGCATGCTTTTCAGAAGACAGAGAAGAAAGCCTGCAGGCCAGGTACACATTGCATAAAATCTAAATAAGGTGTGGAAATGAAGTGAAATTTTCCACTAAACTACACCTGCTCCGAAGACATACTCTATCTTGCCTTGAATTAGATCATCCTGCCCATACTCATGGGCTACAGCACAGAGCTATGATATTCAGAAAATATTTGCAAGAATTCTCTTCTGGAGATCAGAGAGTCACTGAGTTCAGCACAAAATGGTGAGGTGGTATAAATTAGACAAGTGCATTTTATTTACCTTTTTATGCTGATAGACAGAAATCTATCCCGGTATATACAAGGTAGAAGGAGAACTTAGAAGGTACAAACCAACTTTTGAATGCCTTTTGAATATGCATCAGACAGTAGCATCATCCCTTGCTTAACACAACTAAACCAAATATTCATATTTTTAATCATTCTGTAGACCGAGTCTCTTCAACCACCAAATGCTCTGTATTTGTTTTTTGGTGGTTTTTGGTGTTTTTGTTTGTTTGTTTTCCCTTCACTGGACTACTTCAATTTGCTGATGCTTTTCTAGCAGTGAGGTGCCTGCAGTGGGATAATATACTTCGAACTGGAATATTGGAATATGGCAGAAAGATAGTAATAGATTTGTTCCTGGATAAACAGCTGGGTATTAATGCAAGTGCCTTCCCCTCAATACTACCTTTCCAAAAAGGGTACATACGGTACTCCTAAAACCATGCACTCAGCGCTTCACAGCTAATTTGGAATGTCACCAGTCCACATAACCAGCTTAATCACAACAGATTCTCCTGGATTGTCCATGGGCTCCCATTCAGAAAGAAAGAGAAGGAAAAAAAAAAGAAAAAAGAAAGAATGCAGCTAACTGGACTTTATTCTTTGAGTTTTCAAATTATGACTCTAAAGGAGGGGAAAAAAAACCAAAATGTTTTTCTCTTACAAGATTTCAGCGTCAAGCTGTGTGCTAAGCCACAGTGATATACTAAAATAAACAAAACTATTTCTTTCTGAGTCCAGAGAAATTAGCATGACCAAAAATATTTTTGGAAGACTTTTCTGAGCCATGAGTAAGATTTCCATGCAGCTAGTCTTAGTCTCCAAGTGTTGGTAGGTCCATTAGGACAACACTACATGGCGCTCATATTCCAGACACAGGCTGTTAGAAGCATTTTGTTAGCGATAGCCGCAGCCTGAGGAGTCTCTTTCTGTCGTGGCCTTTGTCTCTTGCATTTGTGTAAAGCCCTACTGGGGCCTGCTTCAGATTCCTATCTGACAGTCAGTCGGTAATGTAAGAATGAACACACAGCAGACTAATTGGAAACACAGAGCAAATGTTACAGGTTAGCTAGCTAGTGGGACTTTTGCCTTTTTCTTTTTTTTCACCACCTCTTTTTTTTTTTTTTTTCCATTATTTCCCTCCCCCCATCACTCATTTGCTCCCTGGAGATCAGCAATGGCAGCTGCAGGGGTTGGTAGGAGGAGGGCAGAATAAGACTTCCAGAGCCCATTAAACAACTGGAATTATCAAGTAACTTGATGCCCTTGTCTAGGTTTTAATCAGATTGAGCAACTACCCCTTGTAAGCTGAAATGGACTCTGCAACATCAAGCGTTTCAATCCGTGGCTAATTGCACAGAAGTCCACATCACTACATTTCTCCTCATCTCCTACTCCTGCAAAATAAATACCATGCAGAAAGAACCACTTGGGAATCCTCTAATTCACAAAGAAGTAGGCATGTACAAAAATGTTCTCCTTGATTCTGGCTAAGATTCCCCTCTGCAGCACAAAGACACAAAGTTTTAACAAGTTAAATCTAAAATTAGACACATTTATCTCATTATGTGGCTGTTTCCTAGCATTCATCCTGCACACAAAGCTGTGAGGGTCAGTCTGGGCTATTTTCCCAGTCCCTGACCAAAACTTGGACTCTCTCACATTTGGACACTCTTTTTCCTTGCTCAGCATACCACGCCACAGCCTCTCTCCTCTCTTCCTCTATCTGTCCCAGTCTCTTTCCTTATAAGCCACAAATAAACCATCCCTAGACTCCCTTCCCTATAAGCCAAAACCAAACCACTCCTAGACTCCCTTCCCATCTTCTTTCTACAAGCCTCATCTCCTGTTCTGCACCTCAGCAATCAGCTTTACCGCTTTTTTCCAAAAAGCCCTCCTTGGCTTTTACTTTGCAGACCTCAAGATCCCTAAATTCTACTACCTCCGGATTTCATGAGTCCCAGCAGCACACATATGCCTTGCATGTATGAATTTTGAGTTGGACATCGATCACCAACAGGCAAAGCAAATGACACAATACAGCTGCTGTAAGAAAGAGTACCTATAGAGGAAGAAGCCCTTGCAATTGGAGTCATAGACACTCTGAAAGGCAAAATAATGCTGAGGCAAGCTAAGGAGAAGTGCCCTCTGGCTTTAGCAGCGTAGGTGCTTCGTGGTCTCTTTTTCCTCCTTTTAGTCTATGGTCCCGGTTAATGTTCAAATTAGACAAATAGAGATTACCGTGAGAACTAAGCCAAATAACACAGTGTTCAATAACTGGGAAACTCCTATGGCAGGGGACACATTACAAAGAATTTCCAAGAGCTGCAGAAATGGGAGAGGGGAAAACAGAGGCACAAAAGGGATCGTTGTGAAAGGGAGGCACTGGGCAGGTTGTTGGAGGGCTGCAGGGAGCAATATGTTCCTGTAGGAAGGCCCACGTTACTCCTGTGTTTTAGTTCTCAAAAGCAACCAGAACTTTGGATCTTATTTGGAAAGTTAAAATTTCATGCATTACCTCTTTCTGGCCTCTATAGTGCATTAAGCTCTTTTACAATTCCTTGAAAATTTTAATAGCTCTTTAGGATCCCTCAAAACACTCTAGCAACCTTTGGGCACAGGAGTACACTTAACCCCTTACAAAGGGGCCTATATAATTCAACCAAAACTTACAAATACCGAGACTAAAAGAATACTAATTGGAAATGGGATACGTTACCTGCTAGGTATTACAAGTTAAAGTTTACCCCTTCAGCATGAATACTTTATGAGAAATACAGACACACGATAAAGCTGGTAACAATGACAAAGAAATCCAGGAGCCCATCGTGTTGCAGAGGAAAGAGCAAAACTTTTTTTTTTTTTTAAAGTAAATGCTCCTTCATTATCCACATTTTCCTGTAATGTATTTGAGCAAGTTTGCAATCCTCACTTCAAAGATGATATAATTTTCCCAAGCCTCTCCCTCAAGAGGTGTGTGGTTTGTGTTATAGTTTACTTAAAAGCAGAGACTTGGAATCAAACCCTGGCAAACACAGTTACACACTTTTGGAAATTTAATGCTGGTTTTTTGTTGGTTTGGGGTTTTTATTTTTGTCAACTGTTTCAATAGTTTACAAAGCATGTCACAACTTACAGTGCCACCTAGTTTCTAATCAAAAGGTTACTACCAGGTAATAGAGCTCAATCTGCTTTCACACAGCGTCCTTTAACATTTCAAGGAACCAAAAGGGGAGGAAGGGTTCAGTGTGCTCCCACTCACCCTTTTGTTGTTCTCTTCTTCTTGTGCCTTCCTAAACTCGTGCTCTAGTGAGCAATCGATGTCGTTGAAGAGGCCCACTTCCTCACAGTTCTTCAGGAAGCGTGTTGGTGTAGGAGTCTGGTCTGAGAAAATGACAAGAAATGATCATTGGTATTTAATATTAAAAGCAAAGGGAGACAATTAAATAGTTTTCCAGGAAAAGAGAGGTTCTAGCTAACCTCTCCATGCCTTCCCACCCCTACCACATCATCATTAAAAACAAACCACGCAGCACTGAATTTCAACACTATTCACTGCAGGCAGGCAGTGCTTGCCAACGGTGTCCGAAAACAGGCAGTAGTCATCATCCAACCAGAAAGAAAACAGGCCAAGTTTTCACAGGGCACGTAACGCAACTGCATATCCTTAACGTGTGCAAATGGTCATTATAACTGTCTATAAACCTTCAATAATAGCTGCATGCAAAACAGCGCACAGTGCATACGATAATGCACATTTACACCACGGCACACAGGCAACTGCTGCAGATACACACTAGTTAACACCCTCGAGTGCTTTAAAACCACCTCAAACGTACACATACTTTGCAACATGCATGAAGTTAGTCACAGCAAGAAGTTCTGCTTCTAATGCAATTTTTGAAGGAGGAGCGAAATGACATTAAGAAAAGCTGTGAAATGTTAAACTTTGACCACAAAGAAGCATCCCTATGTGTTTTATACCTAAAAGCGTTGATAATACATATAAACCACAGGATTTGGAGTCAAAGGATTTTTAACGCATGCCTTCATCTCTAGGAATTTTTTGCCCTCTCAAAAATAATTTGGGGAAGAACAGGATTCTCTTTAATGCCACAGGCAGGAGAGACTCAAGAAGGTACAAGGTTTTCAGCCTTTTTTTCAAAAACCTGCAAGACAGACAAGCTCAGTTGCCCTGCAGGCTCAGTTGTTTCACTGATGACCTTGCCTAGTCTTTCTTTAGGAAGTGAAAAATCAAGCCCAGACTTGGGAACCAAGGACTCCTCAAAAGTCAGCTCTGAGGCAGCTCCATTCATTCTGAGGCAAGATATTAACTACTCCACCTCAGCTTCCCCATCCCCCCAAAATTACAATACAGAACCGTATTAGCAGAAGCAGGGGAGAATCCATATGGTCCTATCAGCTTTACACACACACACATAAAAAAAAAAATCGTCTCTTGCATGTTAGTTTCTTCTTCCCAAGCCCCCACTCCAGCTCAAGCTGCTTTTTATTACCTAATTTTATGGAAAGACTGGACTCACTCTCTTCAAAAATCATCTTCTGCAGAGTCATTGACAACTATCCTATTGTTTGAACTTCATTCTTTAAAGAATGAACACTGTCATACTAATCCCAGTTGCTCATATTGGGCCAATTCTGACCTCTGAAAAAAGCTTCCCTGCTTCAGTGAGTTCTGGGAGAAAAATCTGGTTTCTTGCACCTAGCTAAGCTGGGTCAAGATCTAATGTTTCCCCCTTACAGGGAACAGTTAACAGACACAATGAACTTTATATGATCAGCATCAAAACATACAGCCACCCCTAAACAAAAGGGCAGCATAAAAGGAATATATACAAAAGCAAACAAAGTTTCCACTTGGAAACCAAGGGGGAAGATCAGCCTCTCCCATTACAAAACCAACTGAGGCCAATTTCCACCTATATCAGATGCGGTCCTACAGGCTTTACCTTCTCAATTAATTTAAGGGCAAACACACTCACTTGCATTTATATTTCTGATGGAACATATTGATGTAACATAAAAAGCAAGTCCTTAATGATAAAATGCTGCTTTATTTCTTTTGGCTTGAGCATCATACTTGTGAGCTTAAAGGAAACAAAACTCAAGTGTTTGGGAATGCATACATATTTATCTATTAGTTTTCACAGCTAACTACCATATTACCAGAGTCAGAAATATACCAAGAATCTTGCAAAAACTCAACACAAGGAGCCAAGTCAATGAGGTGCTGACATTGATGGGAGCTGAGGACACTCAGCACTTTACAGGTCCATATCCTAAACAAGCAGTGCCAAACTAATCTCTAGGGTAACCTCACTGAACTCAGTAGATTTACACCAGAGTTGTCTTTTGCCCTTGGACTGGACTTTGTACCAGAAATTAAGTGCACTAAAAAGCAGGATAAGTAGATTTTATTTCCAAAAAGGATTAATATTACTTTAGTGAACAACACAATTGCTTCGTAGAAAAACAGAGATAATTATTGCCAAGCCTTCCTGGACATAAAGGGCATGTTAGTATTTGAATGTGAGGCAAATACAGGCAATGTTTTCTTTTCAGAAGTGGTACAGCCATAGCAAATAAGCAAGGTATCAATTCCATGACCAAGATGAGAAACTAGGTTTCATAAAGAAGTTGATGGCACCACTTTCACTAAAATCAAAAATCCTGGTTTTTTTCAGAGTTGCTTGAGCCCAGAATTTGGAGAGTAGGGCAGAAGAGAATACACTAACATAGATAAGGTCTTGTTCTTTTTCATCAAGGTACACAGCTGATCCAGAAATCAGGCATTACTACAACAGGCTACATTAGGTCAGAGGCAACGTAATGGGTAACAAGGTGGTGATCAGGCATGTGCAGCTGAAGTTCCTGATCTGTTCAGCATCTATTCCATGAATATTAGACAGACAAAAAAAAAGTTCTCAGTGAAGTAAATCCATTTTAAGAGTGAAAACAAGCAACCCAGAGCAAGAACGTGACTTCAAATGCACAAAGGCATCATCAGCTTTTCTCTGCACGTGCTGAAAGTGTATCTGCTGCACCACAAGCAGTCTGAGATAATCACGTTGTGTTGCCTACAGTTGATATTTCCAATTAACTACTTTATTATCTTAAGCATCAAAGCTGGTAGATTAATGACACTATTTACACCACCTACATATTGATGCAGTGATCTTAAATTACTACCTCAGTCTCCCCATATGGTTACTGCAGTTTCTACAATCCAGAAATTGGATTGGCAAGAATTCAGAACAAGATTTTGTTAAAACAGACAGCCCCCCCTTTCCTCCCAATCAGGAGTGGGGAGCAGGGAACACAGCCACCAACCCAGCCTGAACTCCATCCACAGACCTTCTGGAAGGCAGTTCAGCCAGATGTAAACCAAGAGCTGCCTTTCTACCTTATAATACTTCATCCAACATTCATAGAAACCAGAAGCCCACAAAACCACTGTGTTTGTATGAGAGCAGAACTGTCTTTAAAACGTTGAGACTTTACATAGTACAGTAGTTACATTGGACATACACTGCACCCACTGGTTTCAGGACTTTAGGGCTACCAAGTCCAGCGGGCTTTCTTTGCTTCTGAGGCAACCAACTATTTCAAGGACATGGTTTAGTGGTGGACTTGGCAGTGATAGGTTAACGGTTGGACTCTATGATCTTAAGGGTCTTTTCCAACCTTAACGATTCTATGATTCGATTTTGCGCCTGCAAAACACCAGTTCTCCCTCAGAAGGTGGGCAAACTAGTAGAAAACATTACTCTCAACACCCCAGTAATCCTTTTACCGAAATTAGGCAAGCCCTTGTGTTTTAATCGGGAACAATATCACAAAGGAGACCCTAGCATAAGTTACACATTCAGGTCTCCCAGAATTAATAAAATATTTCTAATTCTCAGCACTTAAAAATGCATTAATAGTTCCAACAGCTTGTGCCTGACCTCACTGTTCCCTGTTGGTACAAACAAACCTTTTGTTGCTATCACCAGCACCCAGAACTATTGCAGGCTCACTGAGAACAGGGCTCTGATTTGTTGTACTTCAGCAACTGGATGTGCCAGACCCATTTGGACCAAAACTCAGACAGAGCTATTACCACTCTCAGCATTATCCTGCTGAGGACACGCGTTACTGTAGGAAGCTGTCAGTACGCATGCTGTTAGCCACACAACCCAGGACTTTAATGGCCCAAGTTGCATTTTGAACTGGGCAGCCTGGGATACAGGTCTGTCTGGGTTAACCCTAGGTTTCTGGCTATCACACTGACCAGCCATCCCAACCCAGTCCCATCGTTCGGCATGTAAAACCTTTCCATCCCCAACTGCTACCAGAACTAGTTTACTATGCTGCTTTGAGGCATCTACCTCTACCCAACCGTCACTTCACAGGTGAACCTGTGCCATCTGACAATTACTTAGGAAGTTACTTCTATCTCGCCTTCACCACCAGGTTGAACACAGAACCTGTCAAGCTTCAAACTAGGCAATAAGTATTTCATTCAGCCTATTACACAGGTGAATAATCAGCCTCTCTGATGACACAGTCATGGCCAGAAAGGCTGCAAGAAACATTAAGTTTAAATAAACCTCAAAAATGTAAGTGGACAACGTAAAAGTCCCAGAGCAAAATCAAATGGTCTCACCTATGCAGATCCCAAGTCAACCTACTGTATCTTACTTGAGAGGATTTCAGAACCACTCAGCAACCAGATTCTGACCAGAACCTAATATACTGAATATATTTTTGCTGCTGACCATTTTGAAAACCTATCCTCAGTGTCTGAAGTGATGCCTGATTCTCCAGACTAATTGAAAAATATATGCTATAAGGCAATGGGAAGTTTGAAGACTTCAGTAAAGAGATCCCATTATATATTCATTATGTTTGGTTATGCAAATTTTGTTGTTGTTGGTTGGTTTGGGGTTTTTTTGTAATTACTGAAATAATAGTCTCAGAAAGGACTTTCAGTCTCAATATATTGCTTTCAAAACAACAGCACAGGAAATACCACGTTAGCTTGCTATATAGAGAGTTTATCTGAATGCATTTTGTAAAACGACCTTGGATCCTCGAGTTTCATCCCTCAAAGCACGAATGAAAACTTTAAAGCATGATACCAGTTAAGAAAAAACTGGACAACCAAAGGACAGTTATGTGAAACAAGCTTTCATTTGGGAAAAAAAAAAACCAAAACAAACCTACAGATTCAGTAAGAGATATCTAACAGCACAGCTCCAAAGTGTGTAACTTGATTCTTCATCTTTCTTTAAAAAAAAAAAAAAAAAAATGTTTAGTCTGATGTGCAGTAATAACAGGCATTTGGCTTGTTCAGCTGTGGGCTCTGTTGAAGTTATATACTTACCCATGTTATACTTTCACACAATGATAACAAAGTCAGAGTAATAGGGCTAGCACTGAAATTTGAAGGGCTGCCCATCAAGCAGCCACAAGGAAAGAGGAATGTCCTGAGAAATTCAAGAAGATTTCTTCATTGATTTGGCAGGTTACTTCCCAAGTGCACCAAGAAGCTCAAGGTCACGACACCTCAAGCAGGTGATGGAAGAGAAGAGGAGGAAGAGGTGCACCCAGTCGTACCTGGTGGAACTGCCCTCACCCAGGGGCTCACAGACAAGGGCTCCCAGGGACTTCACTGCTTAAAGATTCACTGTTTAAAGCCCAGGTTGGACTTTCTGTGTGGGTACACATACCAGGTACAACACATCTTTAATCTCTTCTGGTCACTCAGAACCTGACCACTTGAATTTTAGAAGACTTTTCATTTCATTATTTGGTAAAGCAAGGGACACAGAAGTGAACAAGAAATCAAACCAAATTCTTTTTCCTTATATCCAATCATTTTGCACTCCACAAAATTCACGCCTAGATAATTTTTTTCTCCTTGTGGTTTACACAGGGAGGTTTAAGCCAACCAAGGATGCCATAAGTTACCTCACTGACACAGGCATTACCTGGGAAAAGTAATACATTTGCACTACCTTTAGCACATACCCTTTTTCATCTAGAGGAGACTGTTACAATCTCCACAGTGGGCTTTACCACTAAAAATCTAGAGGACTGGATTTCAGTAAATAGAATCAGGAAGAAACAAGGTTTCTATATAGATAATCCTGGCCTCTCCTGCATCTGCTAGCAGCACTTTTGGAAGGACTTCCCCCGCCTCCAACAATGGTAAGGTGTTGCTCCTTCCTTTCCCAAATTTGATACCACAGGAATCTCAGTGTCCCCAGCTCCCAAAGTTCAGTTCCACACCACTTGTAGTACTTACCTGGAGGGAACAATCTGTCCCACAGACATTAATATTTCAGTGTTAAAACAACAAAAGCTTTGACACACAATAAACTACAAACTTCAAAGCAATGCAATGTTTAGTTAGCACAGCAGCAGAGATTACACCTATTTCAGCCAACCTAACTACAAAGTTTCCTGCAACGATGACTAGCATGCAAAACTTACACAAGATACTCTGTGTTATCTCAAACAGCTCTTTTTTGGCTAGGAAAGATGGAAATGGAAACCATCAATGACTCTCTATCCATACTCACAAGGCTTTCTAACAAAAATAAAATACATACACAAAAAGGAACAAATAACATTACAGTCTTTTTTCTGTCTTTTTAAATGAATGTTAAATTATCCAACAAAAGGATCAGTTGCATTTTCGCGCAATGCCTTTAGCAAACCTCCCTTCCATTTATACAGTCAGAGAACATAAAGCTATTTAGTGTACGTATGTACCTGGAGTTTCTGAATTAGTTCAGGAGTCACTGGATTTAATAACACTTGTTCTTCTTCAGCCAGCATTAAAAAAAATTAAGCAAATATAGTGGAGCTAGTTGATAACGAGGAAGCTCTTGGCTAGACATACCCGATAAAGCAGCATAGCACCAACAATTTCAATCAGGTCACCGACTCTTGTTTATTAAACACTGACCCCACCTACATAACATATAATAAACTTTACCTCTCACTTCCAAAGTGATATTTCATAACTCAGCACAGATTTCACATAAGAAACAAGTTCCTACTTCCCAAGTCATATTTGGCTTGGTTTCTAAGATGTTGTTTTGGTACAAGACTGACAGCCCCTCAGTTTTAGTGCCTAACTCCAATAATAGTTTATAGAAGACATGCTTAATGTGTGTTAAATATTACTGATATTATACTGACCCCAGACTGGGTATTAGCTGTCTCTGGAAACAAAGTAGATAATTCTAATGGCTACCTGAAAGCATACAGCCCATTATTTTGTGTGACTAATTACTAATAATGAATGGATTCAAATATAACACATTAAAAGGTAGTATACGACATACTGGAAAAGAGGAGAAAGTCTGATTTCTAGGCACCTTAATAAAAAGGGAAAAAAAGAAAACACCACACACTATCACTGCACCTGGCTTATTATAGGGCAATTGCTGCTGCAATTCTTTGAACTTACTGATGACAGAAACAATTTAAAAAAAAAGTCAAATATGCAAAAATGAAAAAACAAGAAGGAAGACATGAAGACAAATGTCTAAGAAAAGTCTGTCTCTTCCCCATATATCATTAATTTTTTATTATGAAATCCAAGAATAAAACATCTTAAACTTTAAGGTATTTAGATTTCCCCAGGGTTTAGGTGGGTAATGAAACAACTATTTTTCAATGTCTCCCTGCAGAGAGTAGATGATCTATGATGCTTCCAAACTAAGGACTGCAAAATGCCAAACAAATCCACCAAATGAACACAAAAAGAAGAATCATACACAGCAGCACCAGGTTGCCAGGCCATTACGGTCAGGCACGTTTGCCGCAGTCTTTGAGAACACGTGCAGCTTTTTACTCTTTCATTACTACAGAGGATTGTCATGCACAAAGCACAAAGAATACGTCCCTCAGAAGCAATCTTGGAGCATTTCTGGCCACAAAACTCTGCGTTTCTATTTATTTAGTTGGCTAACTAGAGGTCTAAGGGCCCCACTACTGGTGGTAGTGGTGAAAGCCAGGCAAAATGTTCTGACTGGGAAAGCAACCCAGTGGAAGGATAGCTATCTCATAGAAGTTACCAAGCATAAATGGAGCTACTCTACTCAGGGGACTCCTGATGACAGAATATACTCCTTAGCAACTGCCCTCAAGCAAAAGTCTTGCCAAACAGAAAGTTCTAACAAAAGCCAGCACTTTCACAGTGTGAATGTGCCCACAGCACAGATGTCTTCGAGCAGTTTCACTGCCGGAGGACACGGCCAAGTGCAAGAGCAGCATTTTCTCACTCGTGCTTGCAAACACAGGATTCTGCGAGCATAGCTGGCATGCAGGCACTTTACAAGTCCTACTCTTCAATGTGGTGTGTACTGTTCCTTTCTAAACTTAGTCCACTATGGCATTTTCAAGTGTAAGAGGAAAATAAATTCTATTTGGGACAAAGTCTGTCTGATTTCTCACTGGTGCCTAAAGTCCCAACAACAACAACAAAAAAAAGCCTAAATCAAATATTTGCAAGCAACTGCTACCCAATTATGATTTTCATAAAAATGGAAACAGTTTATCCATAAAAGAAGTAGCCTGCTTGAGACCCTTTCATCATTATATATTTGCACCTAAAATGGCACAATTCACCTTGAAGAAGCCCATTTCAAAAGATAAATATCTAACACTGGTTAACATCCACACACACATTTGCAGCATAGTTTTTTTTCTACAATTACTCTGAAACCTGAAAAATCCTAGTGATATTATTCTTAATAATCCATTACTATAGCCCAAGGAATATACAATAGGAAAGGGAACAGGAAAGGAGAGAAGTGGTAAGATTAAGGCTAGCTTGACCTTACCCAGCACTCACGGAACGCCAGCAAGCCGCCTGTGTGTGGTTACTCAGACAAGAGTATGAAAAAACTACATAATAAACTAAAGGATGTAATTGCATATAATACCAAATAACCTCTGTGTATGACAGGGGAAGTGCAGAGAGAGATGGTTTCCTTTAAGGGGAAAGAGTACTGGATCATACCCCCTGCTTCCGGTTACAGCTATTCACAGTGGGCAGGTCTTGAGCCACCATAAAGGTGGCTCATATGATGCGGCCTGTTATGGTTGCTAAAGTGAGCCTGTCAAACTTAAATAGTGAGTCTTATAGGAACAGCACAAATGCACTTCATTAACACGCTCACTGCTGGACTCTTGGTGACGTGCGCTTAAGTGCCTATATTTCACTGGCATGTTAACGCGGGCGTCAGCGATAGACCTGCCAGCATGGCTGAGGTTCAACAATTTCTCTCCCTCTCATGCCAAACCTGTGGAAAAGCATAAGAATGGCAACTGTCTTTTTGTTCAAAGATACGCATTCTAGCTTATTCCATCTCTACGTATTATTTAATTGGAGCTGGGGCTTTTTAAAACCAATCTTGGAGGTATTTTGCCAGTAGCTTTCCAGTAGGAGTCATGCTTTCAACATCATCTGAATATTATCTTGACTCTTGAATTCGTGTCTTCTTACCTGATAACATATTATCTGTTTTTATTGAAGGAAACTTCAAAGTCATTTCATGTTTGTGCCTGTGAATCATCAGATGATCCTCTGTTGGAAAACGCTGTCAGGCAAACACAGAGAGAGAGAGGAAGAGAGGGGGGGGAAAAAAAAAAAGAATTTAATTCTCTAATAAACTTTTGGCATTGGACAGAATTTCAAAAATGAGAGAGAGAAAGAAATGTATCCAGCTAGAAATGTGTCCAAATGGCACAGGAAACAGAATATTTGAAAATGCAAGTGAGTACGAGTAACAAATAGCTGTACTTTACTTAGAAATGTATTTGCTACAGTGCTCTCTGGGGCTGCAAACCGCAAGGTGTCTTGCATTTGCCTGGAAACGCTGCAGACCAAGTTCTGGATTCTAAGGGTCTCAGACACTCCTGCTACCACAGCCTCACAAGTCACCACGTGCCTGAGGATCTGCGATAACTGCTGTGGTGTATGTTCTTAGCCCACGGCAAACGCAAAGTAATGTGGCATATCTTAAATCACTTTACTGGATTTTTCTGCTTTTGTGTCTTTCTGCAACCTATATCTGCGGAACAGCAATAAAAATAATCAAATAAGCCAGCCTTCCCCTACCCAAAAGTATTCAGGCAAAATGCATTTTTAATTTTGGAAACCTCTGATACTTTGACTTGATTCAAAGTGGCAATGCAATGGGGCTCAGTATATAACAACTCTTTATGACCCTTTATGATATTAAATTAAATTATTTTCCTTTGTCAAGCAGAGGTGGAGAGATGTGCTTTGTAAGAAACTAATCAGTGTGCTAAGTTTGTTTTACAGTCTGATAACAGACTTCTACAACAAATAGCTTCCTTTGAACAAGACAAAGAAGAGACAAGCTTGAATAAATGTTCAAGCGCTTGCACACTTGGGCTCTAAGAGCAGACTGGTTCTGTCAAGTTTCCTTCACCAGAAGGTGCATACACAGGCCTTTGCTACAAACTACTGTAATAGTTTTAACAGGGTTATTTCAGAACTAGCAAAGGCCAAAAGTTGTATCACCAGGGCTTGAGGGAAAAAAAAAAAAAATTAAAAGCAGCTTTTTAAAGCAACAGGTACATAGGAGATTGTAGAAAACTGGCAACAACAGAGTTAAAGTGACTTAATGCTTTCAACACAGTATTCTTGGCTAAGTGACTTTGCTTGTGGCTATAGTATAAATAGTTGCAGTATGTTACACCTTCTGAGAATCTCTCTAAGCCCATAGACAAAGCAGCATAAATAATAGCAATGAATTCTCTGGAAAAAAAAAATAAATCCCAAAGACCTTTTCCTCACTGTGAAATCCTGGTTCATTGCTTACTCATCTGGAAGAAATGCAGCACTAGAAATTTATGTTAAGAACAAAGGGAATATGTGAAAGACCTTGCTCAATGAAATTGTGAGGGGAGGGAAATCACATTTTGTTCTCATGGAAATAGATTTTCCTTCATGGACGCAACGCTCTGTCTTCAGGGTGAAATCAGCCAGCTTAAAGAGGGCATGGGGCAAGTGGGGAGAAGCTATTCCTCCAGCCCAGGCTTCTCTGTCTTTTTTGTAAGTCTACTTTCTTCCTTGTGCAGAAGGTCAACTCCCTCAGCCCTCAATACACATCCGCACTGGCTGATAGAGAAGCCAGTCCCCAGGCAGCTTAGCTGGACAACAGCACTGCACTATGCACTTCTGTCAAGTCCTCATTTACAATAAGCGGAGGTCATGTTTTGAAATGGGAAATTAAATGTTTTTTAGATGAAGTCACACCTACATTTCTCATCTTTTCAAACTGTAACAGCATACAAGCAAACCTGCTCTCTGAACATCTAAATGAGCTTGTTTGGATCAGCTTCTCCTCCACTGAGGAAATATTAATTAATAGCTGACATGAAAATACTCAAGTTCACTGACCTGAGTGGAAGTTAGTTTTAAGATTCAACGAAAAGGTAAATAAAACTTGACTATAAAACTCAGATACTTTTATTCTACCTCTGTGAAAGAATGGTGAAAGTTTAACTCTGCATGTGGACATCTGAAGTGACAAATCCTCGACCAGAGGGACAATCCAAAAGATGCACTCCGACACCTGTAGAAAGGCTCCCACTTAGTGAAACAGCAAAGCTGCTCGGCCAGTTGTTAACCAGACCTCAGGCTTCTCCCTTTTTCCAGCTCATGGCAAAATCAACACCTACACTCCAGTAATAGTCACCCATCGTTCCACCAGAAGAACCTAAAGGGTTGTAAAAATACTGGCCAGCTGAAAACTCCCAACATACAGTTAAAGCAGGGAAATATTACCCTCATTAAGAGAGGGGGACTCCAGGAAATGGGTAAGCTAAATCACTTAAAACAGATGCATACAGGAAGCCTGTGGCAAAAGCCCAAAAGATACCTTGCCTGAAAATTTTACTCACAAACTCTTGTCACTAAACCGAATCAGGGTTGGAAGCACCACACGTGGAGCTTCCCTCATTGCTGGGGGGGCCCCGCGGGCGGTCCCCCCCGTGGGGGGGGGGGGGGGGGGGGGAACTTCCCTCACTACTGCAAAATCATCGAAAAACCACATAAATCCCAATCCAAAATCTCAGCAGGTAAAACCCTTGTCACTTCAGGTTTTTTAAGATCATTAAACATCTAATGTTACAGGTCAGATTGTACCCTCAGAGACACATGGCAGATCACCAGTCAACAGGAATCCCAAAAGTACATCCCGGGGCAGAATTTATCTCCAGGCTGCATTTTCTATAAAGAATATTTAGTAGGAAGATGTCTCAAGGATTTAAAAAAAAAAAAAAAAAGCTAATAAGACATCATTGTATTTAAGTATTAAAAATAATCATGAGGGTTACCAGATCCAATAGGAAACATAATATATTCCATCATGCATCTAAGCAGAAGACAGACAAATGTGTCCTGCCTAGCGTGTCCTCCCTTGCTAGCCACTAAGAGAAATTTGCAACACCTGACCTGAAACATTAGGCTTGGGGATGAGGGAAGGCACAGAAGCAGCCTGAGAAGCAGTTTTACCAACTCACTTTTGACTGGCTGTTGTATTTGCTTTAAATATTTTGTAATAATATCTTGTGGGGTAAGGAGGGAGTTAAGGGGGGGGAAGGACTTAAAACACAACACACATATTATTATTAGACATGTGTTAATATATCAGGAGGCATTATACAAGCCAGAGCTAGTGCTGAGGACTCAATTAATATCACCGCTGACTCCACTCACCTGTGAGCAGCCTGGGGCACTGCAGACAAAAGGCCTCTCCTGCTCCAAGTTCATCTTTGATTCCTCATAAATCTACATGTTAAAAGGGGGAGGGGGAAAGAAAGGGAACCTATGAATATATATGTTCTAAACTTCACACATACATGCAACATACAATCGTCACGGTTTGTGCTTTTATTTCAAACTCCCAAAACAGACCAGAACAAAGTTTTCATCCTCAGAGTACTAAATTTGCTAATATTCAGCAGGCTCCCTACAGTCTAAGTTCTTATTACTCCTTCCTGAGCACATGTTTACTTTGAAGGAAGAAAAAAAAACCACAAAACATTAAGCTTTCACAGCAGAAATCTGCCTCAGAAAAAAGCATATGTTCAGTGTTGTTATTAGATAAGACCGTGTCTGCTCAGAAATATCTCGAATTAAGGGGTTTTACCTTTCCTTCTTCAGTTCCTGCT